ATGAATATCCATAGTTAAAATTTAATGCTAATCTTATATCGAAACTATTTAATACGATCTCACGGTACTTTGATTATTATTAATTTGATATAAAATTAATTTAATATAGAAATATGTATATATATATATATATTAATTAAAAATAAGGGGGAAAAAATGTTACTTATGATTTTTTATTCTGCAATTATTAAATAAAATTGCGATTACCATAAAAAAAATTAATATTTTTATTAATACTATAATGGCCTATTATTATAATTAAATATTAATTAATTATATTATATTAAATTATTAAATATTATATTAAATATAGATATTAATTAAATTAATTAAATATCTAATGTTAAAACAATACTTATATATATAATAATTATATACATTTAATTTTATAAACAATATGATTAAATTCATTGTACTTTTTACATTGTACTTTCTTTAAGGGTAAACTAAAGTATTAAAAATTTAAGCTTTTTCAATAAAGCTTCTTTACGTCATTTTTTCTCTAATTTTTCAATTGTGATAAAGAGAGGTTAGATTAAAAACTTAGAACTATATAGTTGCATAGCTTTTCTTTCTATATGTATGATTCATAATTAAATTCCACTGTATGAATTGAAATCCAAATAGATACGAAAAATATATTCAAGATAAAGTCAAATAGAACACTTATCATACCAGCTTCTTGATTTGTCAACGAATACGAATATATTATCCGGCATCGGCATTTCTCCTTATTACATATACGGACTTAGTCAAGCGCGATTTAAGTGACAAGCAACGAATCAAAACCAGCATCTTATCTTCGATAATGAACATGACTTGGTGTAATGTGTCTCAGGCATGACTTCAAACAATTCTCTAATATCTATTTAGAAAGGCTTGTCACTGATTATCGATTGCCGCGTTTGCAAAGCTCCTTTTCATGACTCGGCAGAGAGCAACCGCATTCTTCTGGCGCAACGAACTCGCACGCATGCGCGCACGAATGAGCGCGCATGTACGAGTATGCCCCAGCGTTTGGTTAAATTTTTCATTGCGGGCCTTTTATAAGCGTTACCTACAAGAGCATTATAGCATATGTCGCAGAATCGACACCGATGCTGGAATCGTTACGAAACTGGCCGGCGGCTGCAAGAGTGAACGTATGGTAAAGAGGTAAACAAAGAATCTGGAAAAAGTCAGTCGCCTGTATGGAATTCGAACCGTGCCTCGAAACTTTCGTGCCTTGCGCGTTTCAGTTCTCTTGTTCCGCATCACAGGACCATTTAAATTCCAACATGTTTCGAAATTCGACCTAAAGTTAAAGAACATTTACGTCACAGCTTATTGTAGCTGGGAAAAAACTAATAGCTTGGTAGCTTGAAAAAAACATTTGGAATTTTGTTTAAATGAATTATATTCTTTTAATGGCAAATATAAGCGCGTGAATATAATTAAAAAGATTATTTTTTATTCATTTTTTGCTTTTAATTAAATTCGAAAAATTTGTTGAAAATCAAAATACTTTTTCTATATAGTCTATTGATAATCAGGATTACTCCGCTTATTTTAAAGAAATAATTAAATAATGGAGAAATCCATTGTTAAATTTCAACAATCAATTAAATTCATAACGAAAATTATAACGAAAGGAAAATAGAAAATAGATGAAGTAGTTTTTAAGAACTTACGTCACATGTGCAAACTGCACAAGTATCAAATCCCACTGGGGGTAAATAAGGATGCCATGATGCTCCTGGTAGATGGAACTGGCCAGCCAGTGTGCAACCTCTTGTTACGGAGCTGACATTTTTTCCTGTCCCATTCATATTAATCCCTGGACCTATGTCACACAAATTATATCCAAATTTTCGTAGAAAAATCAATGAATTTGATGAAATTCTTCACGACATGAAGATATGTACTTTTAAATAGAAACTTTTGTTGTTAAGATTAAATATTTGTTGTTGATAGAAGCTATTTTCAATTGGATAACTATTAGATTGGACAAGTAATTTCAAAAACTTGAAAATATTATAAAATAGTAAAAAAATCTATAAATATAAATAGTCAATAAATTTATTAAATAAGGATCAATTTTTTTTAGAATACATTAGGAATTGATTTATAACTGTATATTGAATACCACCAATCCATGTTTCTATAAAGCAAAGCTTTTAACATTCACTCGAGTAGTGACAGATGAAATTGGACAAGCTGCAAAATAATTCGTCTTGTATCATGATTACTGAGCGATCTTGTGATTTAAATTAACAGGCATAACTAATTCTACATGATCATTTTCACGGAACATGTCACAGATAATCGGATTGAATATCGACCACGCTATTTCTTTAATTCTCTACAAACAAAAATAATTAATCTGGTGTTTTAACTACAAGTTATTCAACATTATGAAAATTCTGTTCTTTAATAATTAACAGATCCAATAACAGATATAATAATCTTCTCAATAAATATAAAGAAATGAAAGAAATATATGATTCTAAAAGATATTAATTAATAAAAATAAAATAAAGATATTTTAATATTAAAAAGAAAATCAAATTATTATAAAATATATCTAGTAAAGACCAATTCATGAAGTCTTAAAGATATGCACACTAGATTTAATCCATATCTTTTGAAATGTTATTTTAATATTAGATATCTTTTAACTTTATATATATGTACATAACACTATATATCTTATTAATTAACTGTGATTTATTGATATTTGTTATGTTTTTGTTTATTCTAAATTCAGAAATAGAAAAATATAAAAATAATGTATGGCATACCTGAACAAATTGGACAACAGTGACCAGGAGCAGGTTTTAGTTGCTTACTCTGGGCACATGTGAGGGCTGGACAAGGTACTGGATCGCATTGTGCTAATCCACGGTAACAATGACACATGGAGCACGGATCTGTACTGGAAGTCCACTGAGTACCTTCTTCATAGAACCTAGTCTCATGAAAACAAGCGCCAGTTTCGATGTCCGATCGGGGTGGTTGAAGATTATACGCGATCACTGAGGCGACATCATTATCTGCATAGTGAGGAAGACAGCTGAGCGGCGCTCTAGCCTTGAATGGAGCTTTCAGAATCCTTTCAGCCTGTTTATCGGTCACTTCCAAGAAACAAATACCAGATTCGATTCTATATAATTCGACTGGTGAGAGGCCAGTGACGGAACCTTCTAAGATGTATCCAGTAAACTCTTCCAATAATCTTCTAGCTACAGGTGCTCCTTGAGCCAATAGGGGCATGGTTTCTAAGTAAAGTCGGAACGTACGTGACTCATGATTATTGGTAGATGTTTGAGGAAAGCCAGCAATTTCAAGTTCGTAATGAAGGGAACAGTCTAAATCTACAGCTGTCCACACCAAACCAACTGGGCCAGGGTGTACAGGTTCTTGGAACAGTCGTCTGAGCAGAAAAGGTGCAGCGGTATCTCTGGCATCGGCTACCGGCCTTTGTAGCAATCGGCCACGCAACATGGAGCCAACGTGTGAAGCAGCAACAACTGCGAGTTCTCCGTTGAACAAAGGCTCGAGGAATCGTGGCCCTGGACGTTCCAGGGATCCATTAGCTAGACCATCTACTAGAGAGGGCGTCAGATCTTCCAATTCGGTACGACGTTTGCCTCCTTCATCTACTAAAGTTACCAAAGGACTCTCTTCTTCCAATCCTATTAATTGAACACCATAACGTAATGAACCAGCATGATCCAAAAATGCCCACGCCAAACCAGAAGCGGCCGAAGGTGTTTCCGAGAGAAGCAAAGTCTGATACATCTCGCAATTGGTACGTGGGCCTACTATGCCGGCCAATCGTAGAGCTTGGGGATCTCTTTTAGACATTATGCTAATGGAGAGTTTGCCTCGAGTCAGTAAACGAAGATCCGTCCCTGATAAGGCACTCCGAACTTCCCCGAAGTTTAATTCGTTCGAAGGTTTCTTCACTATAATTTCTTCCCGTAGAACCACGTAGTCCTTCTCCATATGTTCTAGTTGTACTATCAATGGAACTTCGGAAACATCGTTAGGCAAAAAAACACCGTTAAATACTAAGGATACGTGGATAGATGGCGCTGATGCCGATGATGCTGAGACTATGGCGGTGGCTCCTGCGCCTGACATCAATGAACGATCCACTCCCATCGTTGGTTCCAACAAAGAAGAATACTGTTCCGTGGATAAGGCACGATAACGAGACAATTGTCCTGTCAAGGTGGCCGATGGTTCCCAAATAAAGGACACGTGTAAACGTTCATCGCGAAGTAACTTCCGATAATCTCGTGGAACCCTTCTCCACACTCCACATAATTTACCTGTTGCATTTTGATACACTCCACCAATGGGATCGATCGTTTGTTCTTCCAAAATGCTTCCTGATCCATCGATAAATTGTATGCTTCGTGGACGAGGGGTTGATGTTGATAAATAGAAAGAATAATAGAGATTTTTGCGATGAAATGTAAAACGACCTGTTGCGAGATAGTTGTAAGCATTGTTGTATATTGATGTTGGACTTGGCTCATCGCGACGCAATACTTGAGATGTTTTACCCGTTAGAAGTGTTCCAAAATCTAAAATAATATAAAAATATATGAGATGAAAATTAAAAATTATATTTTAAAATGGATTGATTAAGTATATTAGTTGGAAACAGTTACGTTTTAGACTTCGTTCCTCTTCCTCGGAGGTTAATTGCACGGGCACATCTTGCACTATATCAGTACCTAGAACATAATAGATGATCAAATTACCGATTTAAATTTCTATTTTATTTTTTTATTGGCTTTCCTTTCTAATTCTCTTTAAGAATTAAAAAAATCAACAACATCAATATTCATTTTTTAACTTATGTATAATCGGTAAAGGAACACAAAAGTGGGCTTCGTAAAAAGGATATTTTATTACCTCATGAAATAGCCGCATGCGCGCTACTGTCCTCGAAACTTCGTTTAGTCGAGACCTCTAGCGAGAAACTTCTTATTAAAGTTTATTTCGTAAGGAGCATTGATGTATGTACGAAGCCTATGTTAGCTGATGTAACATTTGTATACTTATATCGAATCTCTCTCTCACTGTTAAAATCATATATCGTGATCAGAAGAGGTAAATATACTTTTCTTTTTTTGTCTTTTATTTATGTATTGCCAACAAAGATAATGGATACGTGTTTCAAACTGTCAAATCGCGATGTGAAATCAGTCTGCATCATGGCGTATCTATAATAACTATACCGAGTGATTCGAAATTGAACGAAAATAGTCGATGGAAAAAAGTGAATGTAAAAAATGGTGAACAGAGAAAGAAATTAAATAAAAGAAATAAAATATAAAAAATACAGAAAAAATACAGAGACAGAAGAGAGAGAGACTGAATCTCATTCAAAAATGTAAAGAATAGCACAGGATAGAAAAAAAGTGATTAGTGCCAATCAATGCTACTTTGAATATTATTTTTATGGCATACTGTGTTAATCCAATCACACGGATGCGTTAATTGATATAATAAATGTGACAGTGACCATCATTAATAGCTGTGGAATATCACGACACATTTCACCTTTCTATCCGTTTTCATTTCTATATATACCTACACTTAACCTATAGATTTATGGATATTTGCTTCACTATAACTGCAGATTTTCCTATTAGTTTCTTTCTAGTTTTATTTCTAATTTCTCTTTCTCTTTGCAGTTATATGCAGTATCCTTTCTTCTATTCTTATAGAATTTTAAGGTATGGAATTGATATAATTAATATTTTTTATAAATTTTAATTTATTACCATCATTATAATTGATGTTTTTTTTTTTTAATATACACAGAGAAGATTGAACGTTATTACATAATCCTTCATTATATATCAAGATTTAAATTACAAATTTAAATTAAGTGCAATCTTTTATATAAAAAAAAAAAAAGCTATAAAAACTAACATGATATATTATTAGGTTATGCATGATTAATATAAGATTATTACATAATAGGTTGTCGTAGTCATAAATTACGTTAAAAAGATATCATTGAATTGAAGTCATCACAAATTTTCTGCATCATATTAACGAAAATTATATATAATACGTAATACGTAATGAATATATTTCTTTCAAAAAAGAATCGTCTTTCATTAACAAAATATGATCGAAAACAATCTATGACGTCAGAGAATATATGAAAGTAAAAGGTAAGAAAAAATATGTTTAATAGTAAATAAATTAATTTAATATATGATTATTTTATTCCTATATATATATATAATAAAACTAAATTTATATTTTATTTTAAAAAATATTTATTAACATTATTTAACACAAACACTGTTGCGAAAAATAATAGGTTATTTTTTTTTTGTAAAACCAAGGTGTGTAGATTTCAGATTTTACGGCAGCTGAACGTGACTAGAAAGAGCGTTACGGCCAATTTAATAGCATTCATGCGAGAATTGACACTTGACACGTGGTGCCGTTTGACCGAAGGTCGATCGTTATTCAGGATTAAGCATGCGCGTGAAAACAGCGCCAAAATCACTGGACTTGGCTAACCGACCGTTGTTTTCATATTCTTTAAAACATTGTTTATAATAACTTTGCCTTTTTTCATTATTTTACAACCTTCGAGAATATTTATCTGAAATTCTGCAATAATGCATGACGATAGTATAAAAGAGAAACAAAATTAAAAAACTAGTAAAGGAATTTTGAGGATAATCACTTGCAGCCAATCGGTCATCGACCTTTGCCTTGCAACGTATATGTAAATATAATATACGTTTTGCACGCTAGATGTCGCTCATTATGCGTTTTAAATGGTAATCTCAAGAAATTATAAATTATACTATGGATTAAAATGAAAACAATAAATACTATGTGAAGCTTGCATTCAACGTACTAAAGCAAGAAAGATTTCTTGCTCGTTCCGCCTATCTTTATCTTTATTACTTATTCATTATCACTATATTTTATTTAGTTTCTTAAACTTATTTCCTCTTTTTACTACGCATCGAACTAATGTGATATTTTCTGCCAATAGGGAAAATATGTGTGACAAGGTCATTTTAAGTAAGAGTAAGACAGCGTTCCAGCCAATTAGACCGACATTCCTTTCCAGTGCAAAAACTCTTGAGCTTCAATACATTTTTGTGATGTTTCCCTACATCTTCTTGATTTCTAGAAAATTAGAACTAGAATCATACTATTATTAATCTGCTATGTTAATCATGATCACATTTTAATATTCCGATTTTTTTCTATGAACGACGTTCATAGATTCAACAAATAAACGAATATCAATATTTAAGATATTGTTGTTCACTCTTTGGATCAATAAGAATCAATATGACAGGCCCAATCGACGGGTCCACAGGTTATAGTTTCTTTTCACAAGATGTAAAAGGAGACGATCTTGTATTAGTAACTGTAAGCAACTTCACCTTCCATCAGCAGGGGGCAACAAGCCTGTCAGACAACGATGCGGACACAACAATAATAACACAAGACGGAGAACACGCGAGAAATGGACATAGAAAATTTCTATATATATATAGTATGTTAGTAATATTCTTGACTAGAAGAAAATACAGTGAGTTGAAAAAACTATTTATACATTTTTTTTTTTGCCATTATGAATATCATTATGAATAAAATAATATAATATTAACAAAATTTATTTTATAACAGAAGGATGATTTCATATTAATATGAATAATTTCAAGTATAATCTTTCATTAATCATTAAAGACTATGACTAGTATTTGATATAAAATAAATTCAATGATTTTTTAATATGTTGTCGAGATTGTATGATTTTAAATAATATTTTTTTTACATATAATTCTCGAATTAATTTCTATATATTTCATATATATAAAAGATATTTAATATTATATCATTGAATTTTACTCTTCTGAGCTTATCGAAAATCTATTTCTATATGGATTTGAAAAAGATCTTTAAGATTTTCTTCATAATATATATGAGATGAAAACTAATTTTGATAATTATAATTATAAGATTATTATATATTTTATTTCATATACGTGGTTGAAATATTTATTTCAAAACATCTGTAAAATCCATGCTCGCTATAGATAGATATTAAGTATGGTGATTCACCTGTTATACTGTGCTTATACAAAATTGAAAAATAATCGCATATTATGCTGCTACAAACAAAAATAGAATTCAAATAAATTTTAAATGAATAACTATCATATTTGTAGAAAAATATAATAATTCAAATATTTGAAAAATACAAAAATATAAAATAATTTAAAAATGTATAAATAAGTATTGGATATTCATGCGTTTGATCATCGCGTTAATATATCATTTCAATTTATAAAAATGTTTTAAAATTATTGTATTTATAATTGCATTTGTATAAAAAAATCTAGAGAATTTTTTTTTAAATGGTTAATGATTGCGTATACTTATGTCATTTTTAAATAGCGTTCTTATCTATTCTAGGAATACTAGTTTAAATAAATCCGTACTTGTCAACACTGCAACTTTTAATTCTTGTACAGTTTTTTATGAATAAGCATAACTAATGTAGTTATGCAAATTCATTTTCTTAAATGATTCTTATTTTACAGATATTTGCTATAATGAGATAGCTATTGAATTTTAAACCAAAACTTTTAATGATAACTTTTTTAAATCTTATTTTTCAGGATACCGATCATATTATATAGAAAAATAAATTCAAGTTGAATTATCGAAAAAAATAAATAAAATAAAACTATATGATCAAAATCTACAGGAATCAAGGTCGAATTTACAATCTTTACATTTCTGCATATTTAATTAATTCATTCGTTGTTAACATAAATTTAAATATCGCAATAACAAACATAAATTGCATCTAAGATAATAAAAATTCATAAATATTATTTCTGATATATGTGCCAGCTAAAATCATATTTATCATATAATTTGGTTTTTTAATTTTCGATATCTTGATTTGCTAAATGTTATTATACTTATATAAAGATCTTGTAAATGGAAAACATAACGCGACATACAATAAATTTTTATCTTAATTTTGATTTTAATATATAACTATTATGTAACTAAAACAAATTTCTCTATATCAATTTGTTCTTATGCTATATACTATATATATATATATATCAATATACGTTTTAATTAAAAAAAAAAAAGAATTACCATTGATTTGAATTCATATTATAAGAAAATATAAATAAAGTTTCGGTATAAAATAAACATTTTACAAACATAACCAGAAAGCTAGTGTAGTCAAAGTTTCGAATATACAATTTTCTTTTCGCATAAGTAACGGGTAAAGTCTATCCTATAGACGTAAACATTCTAGGGATTTTTATGCGTAGAGGTTGACCTGTATGGAATCTGGTATAATTACGTTCCCATTTGAACCGCTTTTAAATACATATACGTATCTATTCTTACTCTTAAAAAAACTGTGGACCAATAAATGAACAATCGCGCAACATTAAACCTCATTCTTATAAAAAAAAAGATCAGCATATCAGCTCCCTCTGCTCCTTCATGAGGCAATTTAAAGTACATAAGATAGCAATCCACGAATGAATAATTGACAAAGAGAACAAAACAAGAATAAGTAGGAGGAGTCGAGGCAGACACAAAATTAATGACGATAAAGCATGCCGAAGAATAAAGAGCAATATAAGGAAAGATAAAAGGTGAACGCTAACTAAGAGGGATCCAGTAGCTACCAGAGGATTGGTCAACCTTATATTGGAAGAGGAAAGGTTCGCAATGATCCCCTCTCCTCCCACTCGCTGTCTTCCCCGCGACCTTCCAACCCTCCCTCCATGCTACATCTTCTCATCTATTCTTATTCCCGCGCGCGTTATGCCCGGTCATTACGTATGCTAATATTTACATTTAGATTGCACGGCTTAATCGAAGTGACGCCATGCGGTAATATAGCCGGCGCCATGGCGCTAAACCGTGGCGCCCGACCTATCTCTCCTCTCTCTTTCTGCCTGCATGACAACCGATCTTGTACGCTCTTCCTCTCCATGTTTCCCATTCTCTTCTTTTTTCCCTACTTTGCCTCTACCGTTTCTTTATCACCAACTTTTTTTTCTCCACTGCTTTTTCTGTCTCTACCACTCTCTACACGTTAATTCGATGTCTCTCACGGGTCGTTATTTCGCTTATCTGCCACACTGCTGTGCTCTACCAGTGCTCGCCACAGGATGGCACTGTTCGCGCTGTCGAGAAATCAACCCAGCGCCATTTTTTTTTCACAATTGAGAATTTTTACGCGACAACTAAGAGGGCGCTTCGTGTATTTTAAATAATTAAAAATTATTAATTAATTATTAATAAATAGAACTGGTAAAATAAGTATATCGATAATTGTCTCTGTAATGCTCATTTGAGTAAAATTTTTTCAATTTTCAAATAATAAATTATTTGGGCATAAAATATGTAACAAGTGAATTATTTAGAAACTACTTTCAAGAAAACTTTTTTTTTTGTAGATTTTGATGAGCTTAAAGTATTTCGATCTTTATAGCTCGATCCACAAAATACGAAAATAATCCTTATGAAATTACAATGAGAACGATATCAGCAATATATTTTATATTTATCGTTATAACTTTATGACTAACGTTATACTTACATTGATATGCAACACAATAGTAACAATAAGACCATCGAGGGTTGAAAGATCTTACAAATGTATAACATGCTAAGCTTTGGATCATTAAGAATTGTTGCAACAGGAAACCAGTTTATACCCAACATCATCTAACGTCACAATGCCCTCAACAAGACCATGTATACATTCATATATATATATATATACATAAGAAGAAGTCAATTGCGTTAGCTGACAAGAGAAATATCCGGCAAACAAAGAATCTCTCTATAGAATGACAAATCAAAAATTCGAAACAAAGAAAATAAATCCAATTGTTCGGTCAATTATGATAATACTTCAAATCGTACATATAAAAATATTGAATCAGATAATGATATTAACAATAATAATAAAAATCCTATAATCTAGAAAAGTTTCATAATCAAATCAATAAAATAATACAAAATTTAATTGTCTCAAATGACAATTACTTTAATAAAAAATTTTTTATTGCATAATTATTTTCTAACAAAAGAAAAATTGAAAGAAAAATCGCTTCACAAACTAAACAAAATATAACATGTATCATCAAATGGAACTGCAATAAGGTATTGGCAGGTATTAAAGGCCATGGCAAAATTGGAATAAAAAATGTTAAGTTTCCATTATTCCAAAGATATAGGCTACTATGATTAAGATAAATTTAGAACAATTAGACAATAATATGGCTCTCACAGATAATTGCAATTGGATATATGTTTTTTTCTAACTTTTTTCTAACTTTCTAATAACAGATTTCAACTTCTAAACGCAATTTCTGGGATTCAAGATAATAACAATAAACAAGCAAAAGCTAAAACTATACTAACAAACCAATGACAGTTAATTATTAGTCCTTTCGACTAATAATTATAGATCCATGTATTGTGGCCAACAAATCCTAATACTTGACTTATTGAACTTTGCTATCATCAACGTCAAAGGCAATAGCTTTCAGATCATTGAATTTAGTTCAGATCAATATGTCAATTTTATTTACAATCAACTCGAAAGTCACGTTATTTACTAATCAACGTAATCTAACAAATAAAAGAACAAATAAAGATATCTAAGAATAGAAGTATGGAAAACAAATTAAAATGCATTATTCCAGTGAAGTCTATTTACAACATGGAAGCCAGAACGACAGAGTAGCTAATAATCCTTTTGCAAATACCGATTATTGAATCTACTTATCACATATCAAATGAAAATTACTTAAAGTATCCACATATTAACTTGGTATTTCATACAAATCTCTTAATGTGAATTGCTACATTGCTACGTTATCTACGTAAAAAAACTGAAATGCAAATATCCTTCAGATATGATATAATATAATTTAAACCCTATCGCACAAATCACATAAACACATTAGAAATAATGATTTGACACTTGTTGCTTAAAGTATACAAAATTCAAATGTTGTCATTTTGTATTATTACATAACTATTCGTTAACGTTATGCACAATGGATGTAAATAAAAACTGGAATTTAAAAAAAAAAAAAAGAAAACTTATAATGGGACGTGATATCAATAAAAAGAAATAATTAAAATATTACAATTGCAAATACTGTGGAAGTGTCATGTCACGTAGCAATACGTTTTTTGAATTGTTAAAACAGTGTTTTCAATCATGAGGAGTAGGGCACGCATACTAATCTTGCTTATGTATGATAAACCAATGTAGTGATAAACTGTTAATTCCACCTTATTATAAGTTCTATGCAAGAAATTCTACTTTCCTTATAGCCAATTACAAAAATAGTGTTACAACATTATTAGACATGCTTAACTCGCGTCTGATTGGCATTCCTATTCAACGGGTTACGAGTAGACAAGAATATATATATAAAAAAAAAGAAAAGAAAAAAATACAGAATGACAAAGAAAGCGTATTATCTTATGATTGCAATAAAAAAATCTTTCTATTGTTCAGAATAGAAATAAGAAAC